AGGTCACATACATTGTCTACATCCACCTAATGCAAAAGAAGGGCAAAGTGCAGCCTTTCCCAGTTTGGGTCCCTCTGAGTCCCATCAGCTACAGCCGGTATGACCAGTGGTTGGAGATGATGGGAACTGTTGTACAACTTCTGAAGAGACCTAGGTTGCGGCTGTCTGATATAGAGGCTGTACTCCTTAAAAACAATAATACCAAAAAGTGAGTAAGGTTATACTGTGTGCCATGTGGTCTTTTAATTATTTTGTAAGACAGTTAATTGTTCAGCAACAGTAATCTTCATATTGATGCATAAGATTGAAAGGAAGAAAGTCTGCCTACTATCTGTGTGTTTATCTGATCATTGGGGTAACAGGGAAAAAGCTGGGAGAATGGAAAGTGTGGTTAAAAGTGGTTATTTACCCACCCCCAACAGCAGGAACTTTTTGGACCTCACCTTTGAGGGCCAATAGACAGCCTCACTGGTAGAGAAGCTGCTTCCTATGGATTCTTCCCAAATTGTTCTGGTGACATATCAAGAACAAAACCACATGGGCTGAGCCAGATGTAAGGCTCTTGCCATGCAAATATCATCCCCGGCATGGAAAGGAACCATAAAATTGGCTCTACCCATGTTGCCCTTTTGTACATGTAAAACCTGTGTTTTGAGAGTAAGCCACAAAAGGGGGGGGGGGTGACAGACAAACATGTATCCTATACACCTTTGCAGTGACCTGATGTATTCAAACTTTAGCTTGAATGCATCACCAAATACAAGGAAGAGACCATCAGTGAGGAATAAAGTACATGCATTAGAGTAGTGATGGCGAACCTTTTAGAGACCGAGTGCCCAAACTGCAACCCAAAACCCACTTATTTCTCTCAAAGTGCGAACACTGCAATAAAACCTGGATACTGAGGTTTTAGTTTAGAAAAAACAACTCATACATTAACATCTTTTGTCTTAAAAGAAAAACATGATAACAGAGCTCTCAGTGATACAAACAGCTTTTTATTGAAAGGAGAAAGTTTGCTTTTGGCCTGCCCTGAAAAAGGCATCTGAGTGCATTTCCTACCTTGCGGGGGCTTCTGCTAAAATCACAGCCAGTCCAAGCAAATTCCTGGCAGCGCACTGACCAGCCATGCGAAAGCTTGGATGAGTCACGGCTAATGAGTCATGGCTCGTGATGTTATCGCCTGGCGCCACTACTCCTTTCCAAGCATGCACATGGCCCCTATGTGCACTGTTACCTGATACTCGGCTGCTGGGGCGATGCTGGGGCAACTTGGCTCGTGTGCCAACAGAGAGGGCTCTGTGTGCCCACTGCGGCACACATGCCATAGGTTCGCCATCACTGCATTAGAGGCACAGGGCCCCATGAAGGACCTCTAGCATCAGCAAGCACATGATGGGAATGGACTCTGTCTGAGACTTTGGAAAGCCATTGGCCTCTCAGAGATGACTATACTGGGCTACATCAGAAGTAGGGAAGGTGTCCCTCTGCCAGATGATGTATTACAATTTCCATCAGCCCCAACAGCATGGTCAGGGATGTTGGGAGCTGGAATCCAACATCTGGAAGGAGCACAGGTCTAAGACAACTTCTAATTTGCTGGCATTAACTATTGGGGAAATGAGAATCTCTCTCCATGTGGGCATGCATGTATGGGTGTCTCCTAGTCAAAATCTTTGGATATGTCTTGAATATTTTTAGCAACAGTAAACAATATGGTCTGTGTGGGGATTTTATTACCAGCCTTGATGGTCTGACCACTTTCACTCTTGAGCAATAACTCTTGTGTACCCAAGTAATGGCAATTGGCTTCAGTAGATATTTGTCAGCCGGAAGTTTCTCAACTCTCATAACATCACATAACTCTAGCTAATAGTCATGTTACCTCTCTGATTTCACTCAAGAAAGTTTTGTGATGTGATAGCTTTCTTTTTGACCCTGGTGTGATAGCTTTCTTTTTGGGTGATTTACAACAAAGTATAACAACAATGTAAACGCTAATGGTGGCCCACCAGGGCGTTGGCTTGGGTCTGTTGGGGAGGACACCCGCGGCTGCAAATGGGTACAGGGGGACGGGCAAGAGGGAGGAGGCCCACATGGGCAGCACTGTCTCTGCAGAGAGTCATGCAGGGAAGGTGGCACTGGCCTCAGAACCGGGCCTGTGGCCACACGCAGGGCTCCCAGTGTGGGGCAGGACAAGCTCCCCCCACCCCCCAGTGGGCCATGCTCCAGCACATCAGGTCTTGTTTTAAGCTAAAGGTTGTTAAAATTGCAAAAGAGGTAATGCAATGCAGCTAGAAGGTTTGACATGACTGAGAAGATGGTGCCATATAGGAGGAAGAGTTAAGACAAACTAAGGAAAGTTTTCACCTGGCATAAGAATAGCTCCAATTTTTGCCTTACTTTGCCTTTTTTGTTTCAAGGGTCGTCTTATATGCCAGTGTATATGGTGTTTGGCTTTGTACTTTTAGAATATGTAAGGAATGGCTAGTAAAAGCAAGGTCAGGGTTGATTTTCATCCTTTAGCAACAGTTGCTTTTGGCCTTATAAGTCATTAATACAATTGGCTCAGCAATTGCCAAGTACATATGAACAGTATGTTGGCTTACGATAGTAGTCAAATTGCAGCAAAAGATTGCTATAGGAAAATAAGGTGTAGTGGAATTCATAAATGTGACTCAGTTTGCCGATAAATGGGAACTCTGATCAGTCTCTGATTTTGAACTTGTTTTTCTGTTTGGATAACAGGGCAGGAGGAACTATTTTCAAGCACAAGATTTGACAGTTATGATGGAATAATTTCAGCAAGAATTATGGAAGCTTAACGCATCCTCCTTATGATGTAACCCATCTCTGGTGCTATCTGTGTTCAGATAGCTGAGTAACTAGGAATGAATGTCTTGCAAATTCAGCACTAAGCTCTGTCTTTAGCCTGGCATCTTTTAGTGTCCTCAGTGAAGAGCAATGAGATCTCTTATCCCTTGGCAAAATGGACAAGTGTAGTCTAAATGCAATCAAAGTGAAGTTGGTACCATTCCTAGCTATAGCTGTGAACAGTGTTCCAGAAGATACTGTAGAGTTTCCACAGAATAGTGAAAGACCAAAATAGACTGTCATGTCGGTTTGATGAACTGGTTCTTCTCAAATACTCTTTCCTGTGTCCCCCGTGCACTGAGAGAATCCTGCAGGTGCCCCTGGGATTTGTAGTATAGCTCACATGATTTAAACCCTTTCTATCAGATGCCCAATTTTAAATTCTTTTATCCAAAAATATTTGCTTGGCTCCCCCATTCCTGTGTCTTTCATAGTCTTATTTATTGATTTGTTTATTTTTAAAATGGGCCCTGTAGACTGTGCAGAAATCCTGTGCATGCTTGTTAAATTCAGTGGTTCTTGCTTCCAAGTAAGTTTATACAGAATTTGTTATGTATAAATCACCTCAAATTTTCTACATGCTATACATAGAGAGATGGAAAGAAAGATAGTCCCTGCCTTCAGGCTTACAATTTTAATAGTTGTGATACAAGAATAAAAGGAAGGGGTGTGCAAATTTAGCACGTAATTCCTTATAGATGCAGAAGCATTTCATTACAAGGTGAGAGGGCCCCTGAAGGAGGCCTTTCTGGGAGAGGAGGAGTCAGCTTAGTTCCAGTCAAGGTTATGGAGTGGACTGTGGCATTTCCCTCCCTCCTCTTGCAGTGTTGAGTTTTTAGCAAGACTTACTTTGATGAGGTCTTGGCAGAATTCCTTTAACCTCTTTTGTCGTATCTTTTATCTACTGATAACATTTGCGTGGGGAGAGGAAATATTGCAGTGCTTAGTCATACTTAGGGTACTTCTATCCAAATCAATCAGACAAGCTTAAGTAAGGCTAAATCTGGATCCAATCCATTGGTTTTTAGAATAAATGGCAAAGGCAACTTTATTTTATGGCTGAACCAGAAGAATGATGAGGAAGTTATTAAAGATCAACAAGCAGTATAGTGAACTTTTCAGGGTTCAAAGCTAGAGCAGATGTTTTGAAGCTATGCCAATGCTTTATGGCCTTCAGGTTGTTAGGAAGAGCATCTGGGACAATTGCCTTTAAGTTTCTTTCCCAAGTGTTATCCTTTGATAAAAGCTACTTTTGGACTTGTGTACCCAAATGGTTTCCTGTGTTGAAGCAACTTCACTCTTCCCCTGTATGTACTCTAAATGCTGCCTCTGAAACCGTAGGAGAAAGGAACTTAATAAAATTGATTGCAACAAGTGTGGTCTTTTGTTCTTGGGGAGAAGACTTGGTGCTTCATTTGGCCAGGTGGCTTTGGATGCCAGTGGGGCATCTCCTGTTCTACTCAGGACACCAAAGTGGAGTGTAAGACTTCTTTTACATGCTTATGTTCTGCTTCCATATGTCTTTGTTGTAGTCAATAAACATTCTGTCATCTTGGGTTTGTTCCTAAGTATCTTCAAATCTAAAGTGAGATACCTTGGCTAGACCAGGGCCCAGGGATTGATGGAGCATCTGTCAATGCCCTAGCCTTGCCTAAGTGGACAGGACAGCATTGTCCAAAATCAGCAATAAGTCTAGCCTTAGTCAATGTCAGTAAGTTGGGGTTAAAGTATTAACAATATCACTTAAATGTAAATAAAAGCAGAGCTAGCATCTGTGTTATATTTCTCTTACGAATAAAATTGAATCGAAGAAGTGTCCTGTTCATCTGTAACGTATCTGCACAAACTGAAAAGAGAACTTTTGATGAAACATTTTAATAATTGCAAATACTGACTTCTGGTATTCATTTTTTTCTGTGTCTTATTCACAGAAAAATAAGACATGTGGGCTGGCGTAGCTTAGTCAATGATCCAAAATTTTTATTGTCCTATTTAATCCTCTTGTTCAGCTACAAACTTAATTACATTTTATTGAATCTGCCTCTGCTAGCTGCCCTGGGTGCTATAGGTAGAGAAGTAAGATACAAATGGAAATATAAATGTGTTGTTGTTTCTCCCCATGGCAGATGATAAACCTCCTGTAGCCTATGCCTGGATGGACATGAAAGTGCAGCCTAATGAGCCAGCGCTGCTGAGGGGTACGGAAAGTTTCGATGACAATGGAATTGTGAGTTATGACTGGACGCTTCTCTCAGGTGATTCCTCTGTGTCAATAGAGGTAAGGCTGGACAAAAGTTAAATGCAATTCTCTAGCACAATAATTTATGAAACCTTCAATTAAGAATGCTATAAGTTTCCAGTACTGTACTGTGACTGAATTATGAATGAGGATTTTGATGTTTTCCACCTGTGCAAAAATTGCAATCATACTAGAAAGCCTCTAATCACCCATAGTTTTCTGTTTTGTGTGAACCAGAAAGCTATGCTTACCAGATTCAGAAAAACCCTAAAACTACAGCTGTTGAACAGCAAAGAGAGCATTCCTGTGACCCAGGGAAAGCATCCTAGGACCCATAGGATTCTTCAAAGTTCCGCCAGAGGCCACAGGCATTGCTCTGACCTTGGAAGGGGAATTCAGGTATCTTGTCCCCCTTCTTCCCTTGCAGTCCATCCTCTCTCACAATAAAAATTACAACGTCCCAGCCTGGTCAGCGCCTGCCTGAGATCTCCATGTAAGCAAGCAAGATTCAAATGTGATCAGCATCTTGTGCAGGTCTGATTATGCCAGGCTTGGCTCAGCTGTTTTTGGTTTGCCTGCTCTAGGCTTCTCAATCTGACGTGCTGCATGTCTGTCCAGTGGAATCCCTTGCTTGCAATAGAGTAAGAAAATCTAGTTCAGGCAGATTCCAGGAATGGCTGCAGAGAAAGGCAGGGCTCTGATACATTACCTTTCAATAACGTTTAACGTGTTCAAAGCCAAGAGGTAGATCCTGTCACAATAACCATTTCCTCCTTTATTTATTTATTTTTTATTTTTCGATTTATATCCTGCCTTTTTCCTACAAAGGGCTCAAGGCAGCTTACATCATTCTCCTCCTCCATCTTATCCCCACAACAACAACCATGTGAGGTAGGTTGGGCTGAGAGTCTGTGACTGGCCCGAAGTCACCCAGTTGGCTCCACGGCTGAGCGGGGACTAGAAGCCAGATCGTCCGAGTCCCAGTCCCATGCTCTTAACCACTACACCACACTGGCTCTCCATTTATATTTCTGTTTTGACTTTTTTCTGTTAAACCACTGCAAAAATTATAGCCATATTCTTATTCAACTCTGTTCTGCTTTCATTGTAGTTTGTTTTTGTTTGGTTTTGTTTACACGTATACTGAAAATACACTGGATCATATTTTACTATTTTTGCCATAGATCTGTTGTTGTTTTTTATATAAGTGTTTTATTTGCATCACAATGGCTTATGAAACTAGCAGAGAAGTACATTGAAGGGATTTCCATTCCCAAGGATGCCATATTCACGAGTAGGTGCTTATTATAGGATTAGCATAATTGAATAAGGATTTTGCAGAATTAAAGAAATGTATGCTCTCTTGACCTTTGCCAGGGTTTCATCCTCCATTTGTTTGCCGCCAGGAGGAAAAGAAGTTAATAGTATACACACTGATATCCTTATTTTGATAGCTGGAGAGTAAAGCAGCAAAATAAATGTTGCAATTACATTACATAGTACAGCTATGTGACTTTTGGGAGAGAATATGGTTCAATTTCCCTTGGGAACCATTTACAGCTAGACACTGAGTGAGAAATAAGTGTAGTGCATTCCCCAAACTTGTATTGAAAAAGAAAGTAATAATTTAATAAATTATTAAATGGAGTTAATAAAAAAAGAGATGTCACATCATTTACCTCCTGTTCGGCTCCACACTCACTACTAAGAAGGACTTCTTTGGTTATTGGCTCACCAGAGAGAAAAACAGAATGCCCATCCCAGTCTCTGGGTGCAGACTAGAAGATGGCAGCCTCCCCATGCGGTGACTTGATGGCAGAAGTAGTGTTGCCATTAGTACCCAAGCAAATTCCAGTTTGAAGGACTCGTCTGGCAGGCTTATTATGTTCTGTGCCTTTGTTTCCTGTCCTACATTGTTGTATAATGTCACTTACTTGCTCCATAAATAGTTACTCTTGGTTTTCATTCAAGTTACAGCAAGTTACATGGAGTTCTGTTGGGCAGAATTTAATTGTAGTGAGTGCAACACTGTGATGTGTGGAGTTAGGTATTATTATGAATCAAACAGCCTTGTCCAACGTGGTGTTCTTCAGGTGCGTTGAATGGCACTCCCATATCTTCCAGTCAGCATGGCTAATGGTTGGAAATTATGGGAGTTGTAGTCCAACCAGGAAGGCTCCAAGGTTATGGAGGGCTGCCTTGGGGTTTCAGCCTTTGTGCTCTTTTCCCAACCCAGTGAGAGCTTTTACACAACTAGCCACAATTGTGTGACTTTGGAAGAAGTGCCAGCGTTGAGTGATGTCGAGTACTTTGATTTGAGGGCCTGGCTTTGCCTGGTAACACTTTCAGCAAATCATTGTCCCCTTCCACTGCCGAACATGCCCATGTTTATCAATTTGGTAGTGGAAGCGTGGTGGTGATTCCTGAATACTTGGGAAGTTTCCTCAGTATCAGAAATGTATCCATCTGGACACATACACAGAACCTATTCTCAGCAGCCTCCAGGCCTTATGGAGCTCTGCACATGCCTAGAGGAGCTGCCTCACCTAACCACAGGCAGCCTCTGATCAGGCAGCTGGCCTCAGACAGAGATGATCTTTCCTCTTCATGCCACATGAGGAAGTTTCAAACCCCGCCCTCCACTTTTATAGCAACCTGAACCCCCCTTTAGCATTCTGTAACACAGCAGAGAATTGTTTAAGGACAAAGAAACAAAAGGTGCCCTCCCTTTCCCCACTCCTCCTGCAGGTCCTGGACAGAATTACTGGCTCCTTTTTCAGACTATAATCTGGAGCTCTAGGCAAATGCAGCCCTGTGAAGAGCAAAGTATATGTAGTGAAAACAGTTGTCCTTCTGTCCAGCTAAATTATCCCATCAGGGAGGGACAGCTTTCTTTGGGATTCAGTTATACAAAAAAGCACTTTGGGACTCCTAATAATACAGGATACACTATAACATTTGCTGGGATGGGGCAGTTCTCTTCGAGACCGCATCTTCTAATATAGAGGCAGTGAGTGTAGTGGTTAGAGTGTTGCCCTGGGACTCAGGAGATCTGGGATCTAGTCTCCACTTGGCCATGAAGCTCACTGGCGGTCTTTAGGCCAGCCGCTGTCTCTCAGCCCGGACTACCACATACGGCTATTGTGGGGATAAAATGGAGAAGAGAAGGATTATGGAAGTCCCTTGCAGGAAAAATGGTGGGATGTCGATCTGATAAATTCATGCGTGAAATGCTGACAGTGTTGAGGGAAACTCCCACTCGGCAGTGGCCCCCTCTGTATTTATGGATGGGACAGTATGCATTTTCCTGACTTAAGGAACAACCCTATGCTTTCTCAGGCAGAAAAAGGCCTCCAACTCCCAGCATTCCCCTGGCAGCCATGTTGCCTCAAAAGTGATCAGCTGTCCACAGAACTGGACTGCAAAGCCTTCCCAGACTGATGTCCTCCAGAGGTGTTTGACTCGAACTCCAATTATTTCCATAGCATTAGCAAAGGCTGCGAATGCTGGGAGTCGTGGCCAACGCATCTGGGGAGTACCAGGTTGGGGAAGGCAAGCATAAAATAACTAGGGAGGTGTAGACCTGTCCTAACCCCCATGAGGAATGTTGCCAGCCTTCACAACTTACCTTACTTCCTTCAAATCTCCCATAATGGTTGGCCATAACAAGAACCGTTCAATGTGCCTTGAAACATCACTTTTGCGGTGAGATTCTGTAGCAGTTTCAAAAACAACCACATGTTTTGAATTCAGATGCATAGCATATGTCGTCATAACTTTTTTGAAAAGAGCTCCTTTTTCCTTGTATTTCAGAAAGGGGCAGATCACGCAATCCTCACCAATCTGAAGGAAGGGATTTACATGGTCCGGCTGACTGTGACGGACACTGTTGGCCAGCAGGACTCAACCAACATCACGGTCACTGTGCTGACTCCTGAGCAGACTATAGGTGGGTGATTCCTCAGTGCACTTTTCAGCGCTTGAAAATACAGCTGGTAATCTGGTTTTAATTTGTCATACAAATGTATCAGGGAACAGCACTGGCTAGAGCCTGCCAGATGGGAGAGAGAACCTGTCGTGTTGTAGAGAGAGAGAATGTGCAAGCGCAGGTGACTAGATTTGCATGACACAGCAGCCCATTGTGTTGTCTGAACTCAGGAGACCAATCCTGCTGTGGGTTGTTGGAGGCAGCAAACAAGCGACTTGAGAAGAGCAATTTCGCCACGCTGCCACCAGTGACTGCTGTTCCACTGATGCCCAAGTGCTTCTTGGGAGCAACTGCCACTGGCTCCGTACACTTTCTTTGGGGAAAGATGTAGAAATATGTGCAATTGAAACTACAGGTTTGTTTATTTAGGTCCTTCACAGATATGCATGGCACAAATGTATGCAATAAAGACTTTAAAAAAAATCAGTATTGCACTGTTATGCACTTAACAACTGCCCAAATTGTGGAGTCTTGCCTGGCTAATGCTCTGGTAAGTCTCTGCTGGCAAAGTGTAGAAGACAACATCTACAGTTGAAGACCAAGCAAGGCTGCTTATAGGTTACTTTGCTGTCATTTGACAGCTGTCATTTGGCAAACTGTCAACAGAAAAGCAAGGCAGCAAAGGGTGGTTTGCCCCCAAAGGGTCCGGTGGGTATATTTCCCCCTTTCCAGGGTGATCTCCAGTTTCAAAGTATTTTAGTTCTTGGTGCTCTCCACCTTTCCCACCCTTTCCCAAGTCTCTAGGTGGGAACTTTCTAGGTACTCCAGAAAAGGAAAATCTGTACATCACATTTCCTTTGTCTGACTACATACTTTTGACAGTTGTCAAAATAAGGGTGGGGGGGGGTTATATTTGTAACCTTTCTAGGAAATCTGAGCATTTTTTTCTTTTGGACATGGAAATATGTAGCCATACATTTTTCTGTCCAAAAATGTGCACAAATAATCTGTGTGCAGCTTCGCTTTTGTCGGTGTCAAGAGAGGTTAGCTACTGCACTTTGACATTAGACACTCACCAGATCACTGGCCAGGCAAGACTCTACATTATGGTCAGTCATAAGTACACCCCTTCACATCTCCAAAAGATTTTTTTTTAAAAATCTCAAATTTGCACGTTTTTGTCCCCACCACCAAAAAACAAAACGAAACAAAAAAAAAACAAACCAAGATGATAAAAAGCCAGTAACAGTCGCTCCAAAGTGTTGCTTGGACATCAGTGAAATTGCTGACTCTGGGAGTGGTGCAGAGCTCTGGGGAACATGAAAGTGAACGGGAATGGCTCACCATCTCACGGGGGATGGCTTTGAAGGAACGTGGCACCACTCTGCTGTCTGACCAGGCCTCCTCTGACTGTTATTACATTTTAGTAAAGCAAATGCATGGCTGGAGTGCATTGCAAGCATCAGTGCCCCCCCTCCGCAGAAAGTGTAAATAGCATGAAGAGGCATGAGAGAAGAGGACCCCATCATCACAAGTTTTACCTTAAAAATTATGAGGAAAGAAAGGGGCACATGGAGTGGACACATTGAGGGCAGCCCCTTGTAGGCTGTTATGTAGCCAATGAGCAAAGCTATCTTTGTTGATGTGCTCCAGGCAGATTTGAGCCAGCTTCTCTTTAAAATCACCTGTCCTATTATAATACACAGGGACAAGTGGATAAGACATTTTGCTGCTACTTTTTTAAGGTTATGGCTTCAAGTGTTACTTGCTCGCAAACCAGATTCGATCTGTCTATTAACAGGAAGCCTGTTGAATGGGAAAAATCAGATGTTGCTCCTTGAGTTTACCATACACTTATTGACATTATGCTTACACGCTAACCAGTTCATTGGCACTGCCTCCAATAAGAGCTACAACTCATTTTTGACAGAAAAAACACCATGTAGTCCATCTTTAGAGGGGAACACCCCAATCACTAAGTTTTAGAACCACGTCTCTCCACATAACAGCCCACAAATGGGAATTTTCCCAGATTACATATTAGTGCTGAATTGGTAACTTGTTGCTGTAGCCCTGCCTTGGCCATCCAGCTAGCCATACTGAAAGATCTAGGGAAGAAGGGAAGCCCAGGCTGTGCCTTCTCTGGCATTCATCGTATGGGCTAACATGTTCATCTCTTGTTTGTTCTAGAGCACTGCTTGGCTCCTTATAGGGTGGGACGGTGTCGGGGTTCCTTCCGTCGCTGGTACTACAATCCGGAGAGTCAGGAATGCAAGGATTTCATCTTTGGTGGCTGTAAACCCAACAAGAACAATTACTTAAGGGAAGAGGAATGCAAACTTGCCTGCAAGAATGTCCAAGGTTGGTGTGCTGCATCAGACTTTCCTCTGCTGCTAGATTTCAGAGAGTCAAGTGAAGAAGCACTGTGACTTGGTAGATGAAGTTAATTATTTTTTCATGGGGTGGAAGAATAGAGCAGTCTACCAAATGCTGAAATGAGGCACGTAATCCTTGAGAAGCTGTTTTTGAATATCTCCTGTGAATTTGGGAGCAACTTCCTCACTAAATCAAGATGTTATGCATAAGCAAAACGTGTTTTTTACATCTTTTTAGCTAGTGCTCTTCTTAGCAACAGATGCATACTGTTAAACTGAACAAAGCCCTAAATCCACCTTCCCGCAGTCTGGGGGCTGCCAGATGTGTTGAACTATAACTCCCATTGTGGTTATGGAAGATGTGACACAACACATCCAGACGACACCAGATTGGGGAAGGCTGCCCTAAATAATCCAACATTACTTCAGTTTTGTGGTCAAGCATTCTGCAGCATCCTTTCAGAATGTAACCACAGGAAGCTGGGCCTGTCAATACACAAATTATTACTACATTACATTGATACCCCACCTTGCTTCCTCATACAGGAAACCCAAGGTGTCTCACAAGGTTTTCCTCCTTTCTATTTTATCTTTACAAGAACAACCCTGTGAGGTAGGTTAGACTGAGAGTCTGTGACCCAGCGACCTTCATGGCTGATTGGGGACTAGAACCTGAATCTAGCAGGTTCTAGATCTAGCAGTCTAACCACTATGCCACACTGGCTTTCTGAAGTATTGTTCTTGGGCAAAAAATCTCGGGATGGGGGGATAGTTCCTTTTCCTATGTCTGCACTCTGGCATAGTTAACAGTGAAATCATTTGTGATAGAATTCAGTACTCTTAATGTTTCTCATTAAGCTAAAAGACAGGTGCATCAAATCAGAAAGTTCCATTAATTCAGGGAAGGCTCTTGGGAAATCACACCAGTCAATACCTTTACGTTGTCTACCTCTAGCATAAATATAACTGGAAATGGGTTGTGTGGGTTATTGGGTTCAAGAAGTATTTTTGTTTGGAGGATTGGTTGTGGTTGGTGTGGGCTTGGGTGGACTCTGAGGGATAGTGGAGGACAGGAGAGCCTGGAGGAATGTTGTTCATGAGGTTGTGAAGGGTCGGACGTGACTTAGCGACTAAAAAAACCCTGATTTTGCATGGCTGAATGTTTAGATGAGATTCAGTGATTGAGAAACAGGAAGCACAATAGTCTCAGCCCTTCCAATTTCTCTCTTTTCAGGTGTTGTTGAAAAGAAGCAAGAGCCAGGTAGGCAGTTCTATGTGTTCCCATATGCTTCCATCTTCCCACCATAGCTTTTTCTCACATTCTTGCTGACTTGAAGCTTAACAGCAAATCTCTCTGATCAGCCCAGCCCTCTCAGATTCCAACATTGCCTTTTACTCTGTGCTGCTCTTTCTTTGGTGCAATCTTAGTCCACTGGTGTCCAGTACTGCTTTGCCTGAGAAGATTGCTCAGAAGAAAATCTCTCTATCTGGATGCCTAGAAGACGCCTTGTCATTGCTGAAAAGCCAGAGAAACTAATTTATATTTCTTACACAGTGTGCAATGGCGACTGCTTGCCCTTCTATTTCAAATGTAAGGACGGCTGCTGTATTGATAACTTCCGAGAATGTGATGAAGTTCCAGATTGCTTAGATGGTTCGGATGAAAAGTCGTGTGATTCATGTAAGTTGAACTGCATTAATGTGTCTCTGTGCTTCTCATACTTGTATCACTGAACTTTCAACCCAGTTTCCAGTCTCATTTTAACCTAAGGGGCCAGAGCACTGTGGCAGGACACGTGCTTGGCACATAGGAGTTCCAGGCTGAGTCCCTGATCTATGGGAAAGAACTCTCTGAGATCTGGAGAACTGCTGCTATCTAGAGTCTGCTACTGCACTGTGGGCAGAGCAGTGGCTTGACTTGGCATCAAGTAGCAAGTAGTTTCATGTGTAGTCATAAAGATCCACGGAGACCCCCCCAACCTTTCCCTAAAGCAGAACCTTCTTGTGACCTTTAGGCTTCCTTTCAAATTCCAAACATCGTTGGTTCTCCTACTGACATGTTGATGTTAACATAGCCTTCCTCAGCCTGGTGCCCTCCAGACAAGTCCTATCAGTTTCAGCCAGCAGAGCTCTTGGATGCTGACTGGGGAAAATGGGAAATGTAGCCCAAGGTTGGGGAAGCGTTGTTGTTGTTGTTAGTCGTGAAGTCACGTCCGACCCATTGCGACCCCATGGACAACATTTCTCCAGGCCTTCCTGTCCTCCACCATTGCCCGGAGTCCACCTAAGCTCACGCCGACTGTTTCAGTGACTCCATCCAGCCACCTCATCCTCTGCCATCCCCTTTTTCTTTTGCCCTCAATTGTTCCCAGCATTAGGCTCTTCTCCAGGGAGTCCTTCCTCCTCAGTAGGTGGCCAAAGTATTTGAGTTCCATCTTCAGTATCTGGCCTTCTAAAGAGCAGTCAGGGTTGATCTCCTCTAGGACTGACCGGTTTGATCACCTTGCTGTCCAAGGGACTCACAGGAGTCTCCTCCAGCACCACAATTCAAAGGCCTCAATTCCTCGGCACTCAGCCTTCCCCATGGTTCAACTTTCACAACCATTAACAGGTCACAAATGTTGAAGGTGGCTCTTGCATTGCATCCTGATACCTGTACAGGACCGTGGGGTCATACCCAAAGCAGTCACAGCACACTGAACTTTCCCTTGCTAGAGAAGAGGTGATGGTTTGCCCTCAAGAGTCAGCAGAAAGTCATGCTGCCAAATTCATTGGCAAATCACTGTTTTTTCCCCTTCCTATAGAAAGCACTAATGCCATTGCCCCGGCATTCATTTACACTAGCACAATATTATTAACAGTAGTGCTGTGTTGCCCCATCTTCCTTCTCTTTTTGGACTGGACACCTCCAAGCTGCTTTCTACACGTGCAAACCTTTGTTAGAATCATTCTCACACCTTTTTTCTTAAGTTCATCAGGCAAATAGTAGAAATGACAAAATGTGTTGCCTTTTCTCTCTCATTGACCTGGTTCACACCACCCAAAAATCCATTGTGGGTTAATTTACCTTTGAGGAGCTTTGGTTCATGCCAATGGACCTTATGAACATATACTTCCAAAAGGGAGTTACTGTTGTTTGTCACATTGTGTGAACCTTGCAGGTGAGAGTTATTAAGGCTAAGCAACCTTTGTGCAACCTGGAAACAGACTACTCAGAATTTACAGAATTTATACTGTTAATTTATATTATTTTAATGAACTTTATTTATGGATATGAGCTGCCCCGAGGCTTCAGTGAATGGGGCGGCATAGAAGTTTCCTAAATAAATACATACATACATACATACATACATACATACATACATACATACTCTTTTGTGCAAACCCAGCCCATTGTCAAGGAAAGATTGTTCTCTCTGCTGTACCTGTTTTTGTTTGAATTTATGTTTTTAATCCACTCTGAGATTTAAATACTTAGGCCTGATTCAGATAGGCAGTCCATACACTTGCCCTTCCATTCACATGATTATCCCATCTTTCCCCAAGTCCAGGTTCTCATGTGGAGAAATACCAGTGTAGATCAGAGTAAACAGAGAGGTACCCAGCACTAGCAGGCAAAGTGAGTGGAGGAGAAAAAGAAATCGAACTGCCACAAAGGCTGGCATAAATGATCTACAGAAGATGTTTCTGTCAGGTTGCCCATTCTTCTGAAGCTCCATCGCACTGTCAATCAAAAAACCAGTTCTGTGACCCATTCCCACTCACCCCTTTGTTTCTTGCAGTTGTCCAAGGATTCAATAAATTACGTGAGATCAATGTTTCCCTCAGCCAGGGTAGGTATATCATGGAATGGATGTTACCTGGGGCAAAAGGGATAATGCTTCCTCCCACTGAACCTATGTGTGCACCTCTCCAAGTATTGCTGGTGTGGAAGAAGGTCGCTGCATTCAGACCAAATTAAAACTGGACTACAGTTACATTGCTCAGATTGAAGTAACGCTGCAAGGAAGTGTTCCCTGGAAAGGAGCATGGGCAGACATGCTGGACGATGCATATCCATGAAAGCTTGACCAGTGCTAGTGTTGTTCTTCTGTCCACTCAAACAGCAAATAGCAGCCAAGCATTTTGGTCAAATAGCAGCCAAGCATTTTTAAGCATTAACTTTATACAAGCAACATTATTCATGACTCGTTAACAGGTTTGGTACTTAAGGTAATTATGAAAACTACCAAGAGTCTTTTGGGAGCTTAAATGCTTTACTAAAGATGAAAGCATATGCCCATGATAAATTTGTTGTGTTTTAAGGTGCCACAAAACTCTTAGTTGTTTTTGCTGTGATAGACACATATGGCAACCCCTCTGGAAATGGTTACAAAAACCAATTAACTTGAGTTGTCCAGGTCCCAAAATTTCTAGCTGGCCTTGCTTACTGGGAAAAGTTGTCATTGCCAGACCCCTCCTGCAAGGGAAGGAGTTTTGTTCTGCTTCAGCTCCTCTATGTGAAGACACAGAGACTCTTTCTCCTTCTGTGCAAGAAACCTGGAGAAACGGAGGGGTGGTGCAGGCTTGGAAAGGGCATGGATGGTGTTCTCCAGGCACCTCCTAGAATGCTGTGCAGCTGTTGGGACAGCCCCCTGACTCCAGCTCCAAGCTGGCTGCTGAGACTTGTACTTGGCATCTTGTACCTGAGACACCTGGAGTACCTCCGAAACACAGCAGAGCTGAGGGGGTCATAGCCTACCTTTCCCCTAGCTTCAAGGTCAGAAGGAAGACAGGTTAACCACACCGGCCAGGGGAAGGGTGAGGCACTTAGAGCACCCTTAGTGTGATGGGTGGACTTGTGAACCCGAGTTATCAGGAAACAAGATGTCTTTTTTTAAAGGCAGGTGTGCTAATTAGGCAAAAGGCTGATCGTTCAAGTGCCGGTGCCTGTGTCCACTTGGCAATAATTAACCAGTCTGCTTTACTCTGTTGGGCAGCTCACTGTGTGGATATGCCAGATACTGGGCTGTGCGAAGAGAGTTTATCTCGCTGGTACTACAACCCATTCACTGAGAAATGTGGTCGCTTCACCTATGGAGGTTGTGATGGCAACAAGAATAACTTTGAGGAGGAGGAAGCATGTATGAAATCGTGTAAAGGTGTCACAAGTAAGTAGAAAAACCTTAGGAGCCGGACAGGAAGCAGGGCATCTCTTCCTGGGTATTTGCCTCCTGTATCACCTCTTGGCAGCAGCCAGACCAGTGGAAGATGGGTTCCCTGGCCCAGAATCTTGTGGCACCTGTACCCGCACAGAGGGTTCTAAAAATGGCTTAATTGGTGACTTAGTAGCTCTGAAAGCCAGATATGCAATCTCTTTGGACAGAGTATACCTCTGACTAATACATGGTAGAAACAAGGGTTGCTTTCTCATGACCTACTTCTGAACTCTATAGCATTTCACTGCTATGGCAGCAAAGGGATAGAATGCAGAGCTGACCTTGGGAGGACCGATGGGCCACCTAGTGCTTTACTATTTTTTGTTTGCTACCAGCAAGTTCTGGATTAGGCTCCTTGGAAGAAACCATTCTCCGGTCTCCTAACACGGATACAGGGATGGCCTCAAGAGCTTGCACCCCTCCAAATAGCTTCTGTGATCCCAGTTGCTCTCCCAGCTTTCAGTTCCTGTACATTAATGGCCTGTCAAGCATGAGGTATAGACAACCTGGTGCACTTCAGTTGCTAATGACTGCAGCTCCCGTAAGTCCAATTAGCATGGACAGTGATCAGGCACTGAGTTGTAGATCAAAATATCTGTAGACCATCCCTCTGTCTACCCTTGGATCAAACCTTTGCTCTTCAAATAATGGTATTTGTTTCCACAACTTAGGACTTCTAAAATCAGAAAGGCCAAGAACTGAATCTAAGGCCCATATATGCAAAATACACTCTTTGCCCTGAACTAAAATAACTGCTTTCTCTTTTCAAGATGAGAGAGCTAACCTGATTACACATTCAGAAATGGTACACAGTACTGTCCTGCTAGTACTGCACATTTTAGAATGCAGGTTGAGAGTTTTGCATAATTGAACGTTCCCTCATATTGAAAAGAAAATATACAAAAGCAAAAGATTTTGCTATGTCTCCCTGGCATGCTTTGCTTTTTGTGGGCAGGAGGCTGAGGCACTCATTAATGTGATTCCTCGAGTCCTGTGCTAAAACTCTACAATCCAAGGAGTCTTGGTCCTTGTATTACATTGTTCTACATTCCCAATCATTTTTATGCTCAGCAAAGCTTTTTAAAATTGTCTGATAGCCCCTTAAGTACAAGTGCATCTTTGCATTCCAAAGAAAACTAAGTGCTACCATTTCTTTAATGGTAGATTAATGGTAGCAACCCCACAAGTTGCTTTTAATTATCATTATTTGGACATCTGTTCAAAAGGAGAATGAATAACAGGAACAAGCCACACTTAAAGTAACAGTGAAAGGCATAAAGTTACCTTTTTGAGAGAGTAATTGTATTAAATGTTTAAAATGGATTATATCTGTCTGGAAAGTATGTTTGAAGGGTCTCAGCATTATTCCGAGCTGCAGGATATGATTCTATATATTGCCTTTCTGCATGTGTAGCTGGCTTTGCTCTGTTGCTCTCTTGACGGGAGGGAGTGTTACCACAACTCGCTGCAGAGGACTTGTTTTCTTTCTTTGCAGAGGCTGACTTAATTGGGCAGAGATGGAGAGGACATGAGTACCAGCGGCAAGGTTTAAGTATGTAATTACAGAGTTCTACTGTTCCTTCCCTTCTTTCCAGTTTCTGCTTTCTGTATTCTTTGCTATTAAGTGGCCTTTTACTTCTGGGAAATAAAATACACTTTTGTCCTAGCCAACTATGCACCATGGTCACTGATACATGGTGGAATGTTTTCTGCTGCAGTATCTTTTCCCCATAAAACATCCCATGTTTAGAAATGCTTTGTTTCATAAAAATAAGTTGGTAAAATAGTGAATGAATACAATTTGAATAGTACAACTATTCCAAGCAAGTCTAAAAGGAATAATTAACTTTATTAGGGTGCAAGTCCAATGCCTACAATCCCAAGCATTCTTAGAACAAAATCTTATAACTCCCAGCAATACTGGGAATTGTAGGACTTTTTCTGTCTTTGGTGCCTGTGCCTGGAGGAATGCTTTTGTTGCAGCCCTGCAGTGTCAATTCAGAAATAAGGCTCACTGAGTTCAATGGCACATACTCCCAAAACCTTATGAATAAGTTTGCAGACTTTAACATAACTGGGGCTCAGTTCTGAATAACCATGTAATAGTTTGCATTATTGTAGACACATTTGTTCAAGCATGCTAACATTAGTATGTGTACAGTTTTCAAGTACTTTCCTTTTTAAAATCATACCTTAATATATATTAATACAATGATCCCAATAAAAATAATAAAGTAAAGCTTTGCTTCAAGTAAAGCTTTGAAACTGTTTGAATATGACACTTACACCACATTGAGCTTTATTTTTCCCATAATTGGCCATTTCAGTCCAGTATTTCTACTGTTGGACAAACATTTGATTCTTTTATACACCAAATAAAATCAACATGGGCATCTGTTGTTGTTTGCTAAGCAGAAGTCAAATATGATTTCAGTTGGATTACTGCAGTGAAAGATTTACTGGAAACTTTTCTGTAAAAAACATGTGACCTACTTTATGGGGAAATCATGCCCTTTGATCCACTCGCATTTCCAATACTGTATTACTATCTCCAAAGAGTTACTTTTGATGCACACTCTTCTGCGAAAAAGAAGATGGCAACGCCTTTTAGCTTTGGCTGCATTTGGATGTCATGAGAAACTTTAGGGACCAGCCTAGCCTCACACTAGACTTACATGCTCACCGTCTGTTCTCCTTCTATGGCATGGCTGTGAGGAGCAGCTGGGGGTATCCTTCTGTGCCTGTGCATTCACAAGCTTCATGACTCTCACAACAAGGCTTTGGAGTTTCTAACAGTAACCCAGCATGAGCAGGATCATTTGTTTCTGGAATGGGGCACGTCAGCCAAGCTGGCAGAAGGGAGCTTTGCTGACCTGTTCCAATCCAGAAACACTCATTCCCAGGATTATGTTCTAGAAGTGCCTCTTGTACAAATCTGCTGCTTGTCCAATATCCACCAGCACAACTGAATCAGAGGCAGAACAGCCCCCTTGGATATTGTCCAGGAAGTTTCTGCTTCAGTTTTTAGATGGACTGCAGTATAGCATGTTGTCCGAACCTTAAACTGTGGCTGTTGAAACATATAAATTTGAAAATGGATAGTTTGAAACAAACCACCCTGAGACAGTTTAAATGAATAATAAATAAAATGTTTAGTATGAACCACAGTTTGTTGGGTTTGGATGATGCAACAAGCTACAGTTAATGAAAAATGGAGGCAGCAGTTTCTGAACTCCTCTTTTGACTCACCAGGAGATGGAGGGGAGGGTGGAGCACATGAGCAAAGAAGAGGCTGAATGTGTTTCCATAAACGGTGGATTATTGTGCTGTCTAAATGCAGCTCCTGTGATAAAGCCTTTTGTGAGCTTGATATTTCAGCAAAGAAGCTGTTCAAAACAAAATAATTTGGAAAGAGCTTCTTACTATAGTAGCATCTATCACATGTGCATGATTTTAAATGTTTGTGAAGTATTGGCTTCTTAATATTCAAGAATTTCAGTCCTGGGTTTCCAAGCTTAAATTATTAGGAGCACTTTTCTATGTTCCCACAAGAATTTTGCTCTTTGTCCCAGCAATTTACTCATCAGCAGCATTACAAAGAATTACGCACTTTTGAATAACATAAGTTTGATTCACTGAGGTCTCTAAAGGGCCTAGTATTGGACCTAGGCTAATTTTGATCAATCAGCCACCTGGGAACAGATCCACACAATCATACTTTGCTCACTGGTTCAGAACTGGCTAGGCACCCTGCAGTAAGGAAAGGTGCATCTCTGAACCAATGCAGCACGAAGGGTTTTGATGTTTGCATGTTGCCTGGGTCAGAAGCAGCAAATGGAAGGGGGAATGGTGGGAGGGCTGTGTAGCAAAAGAATCAGAGAGGTCTCAGGTCTTAGTCTCCTTCATACTTGGGTAAATAAATGCATTATTTTGACAGCAGCTCTTTATTTTTCCTTCTTTGTTTACTAAGGCTATTACTTTTGCAATCCTTTTTCCATCCATCATAGGCTCTTTTGAAGTGGCCATTGCAGTGCTCCTTGGGGTGTGCATCTTGGTAGTATCAGCCATCCTTGGCTACTTGTTCTTGAAGAACAAAAAGACTTACCGCCGGCGACGCCAGCCACCTACTGCAGCCAACTCCACTCTCTCTTCGGTTCTCTCCAGCACAGAAGACACAGAGCATCTTGTCTACAACAGCACCACAAAGCCCATTTGAGTTTGCAGAGCTGCCCTCCACTTCAGGGAGTGGGACAGTTTTATGTACTGTTGACAGTGCCTTTGGGAAAAAAGGCCTATGGCTGAAGGATTCCCCCTCCATGTTCCCTGCCCTTAGACTGTTGGACACTAGCCATCTTACTAGCCCTAGCAATTGTCCTAAGTATTTGACAGATCCTGAGGAGAAGGAATGGCAAAATTAGTTCCCATTCCCTTTGTACAAAGCATCCATGGCTCCCTTTGTTGATGATTTCCTTAGTTGTTTAGGTGGGAGGGAGTTACTTTAAATATAAGGGTTTGTTTGAAGGAGCTATGGGTTGATTTGGTATGGAATTTGTCCTCCCACAAACCCACTGAAGTCAACATTTCTCTTTCTGTGCCATAGGACTTCCGCTACTCCTTCTTTTTCCTCTTTCAAAAATCGCCCCACTTTATGCAACGGTCTAAGTGGTTCAGACACAGTGATGCCTCCGAAAGTCCTTTTGAGTTCCCCATGGCTTTATCAATGTGAATTTAGGGTTGCATTGGGTGGTCCTTCAAGTGATAACACATGAAAGAGAAGTGTGAAAGACCCTTGATGTGAAACCAATGGTAGGGTATCTGAAATGGCTAGAGTAATGCCATCACGGTTTACATATTCCATTATGGCGTTTGGCTTTAAATCTTAGATTCCTCTTGAAAGAGGAAACGCAACTGAAACATGTTCCTAAGTATTGAGCATCTGGTTCTGCAGTCACTTTTCCACTCTGCACACTGTTCCTACCTCCAAGGTTGCTGTTTCTGCTTTTAATGTTAAATGACTAGTATGCGTGATTATTATTATTATTTTAGTGTCTCATCTGTATGTATTTATTTTTTGGAACCAAAATGTGACTGGTAAAATAAGTCTCCTGTTTTCTAGCCCATCTGCAAGCGCACCATCAATCTTCTGTGTATATATATATTTTTTAAACATTAATAATTTCCCTTCAACTATGGGCAATAGAAACCGCTCCTTTGCTACACTGGTGCTGCTTACTGATTCTGCTTTTAGTTAGATTTTTTGTGTTTGTTTTCCAACAAGAGCTCCAGAAGCAAGGAGAATAATGGAAGCTGGGAAAGTGTGCATCTTGCAAGGTGATCGTCCAACTAGGAAAATCCAGGGGGAAGTGCAGCCTCCAGCCCCGAAAGGAGACGAATGGGGGGAAGGGGGCCACCCCCCAGGTGTCAATATGTGGAAGATCTAAAACTATGCCTGTTAATACTTCAGAGCTGCCAACCACAAGTCATACCATATTTTGCTCTTTGCTGTTGAGCAGATATGGCAGGTTTTTATCCCTTTTCTTCTACACTTCCCTTGGAATCTGATGCAGCCTTACCGTTCCTTGCATCTCCTAATCCATTCATTCCTGAACCCTGATCTGTATTAGAGTCACAGACGCCTGAAACAGCAACTGGCCTTCCTCAAAGTATCCTCTGTACACAGGCAAGCATGCCTGGAGGATGGAGCTAGGAGGATGGAGCCTTGGCCCTGGGGCGGCCTGCTGGTCCAGCTCCCTCCCCGATTGCTGTACTCAGAGGATGGGTAGATGACAGGGAAGGTCTACATGTAAGCATTTGCTTGTGCATAGATGCTGGGACTGCTGGTGACCACAGTTTGTCCTCCACATTTTTGTCTATGTGTGGATGACATTGGGGAAAGGGCTCGCATGGTAGAGTAGGGTGGGCAACCAGTGGCCCTCCAGATGTTGCTGGACTGCAACTTCGCGATTCCTTCTCACTGGGAGTGCTGACCGGGACTGGTGGCAGTTGCAGTCCAACAACTTCTGGAGAGCCACACGTTGCCACTCCTGTTCCAGGTGATCAACCAGTCTCTCTCTCTCTCAGTCTGTGTCTGATTTTCACCCTTCTGAGAATCCGACAGCATAGCCCAATGCTTCTCTCACAACCAAGCCACACACCATCCATCCCTCTCCACCTGTGGGGCAGTAGGTGGAAGGTGGACCTGCGAAGACAGTTGGACTTACTCATCAGAAAGAAAATGTACGTAATGCCAGCTACTGTGTTAATAGCACCTCTTGCTATGGAATAATTGGGAGACATAGCAGAGAATGCTTGTGCCTTTCCCCCCACCCCTTTTGTGGTGTTATGATTTTAAAAAAATTGTGTGTACTGTATAGAAGGATATTTTTTGCTTTGGTGTAAGACTCTGCTGGCTGAGTTCCACAGGTAGCAGCAAGAAGGAGAGGGAGAGTGCTGGGCAGTGAATTTTTTTTCTCCTCTAAGCTAGCAGTTTTCCCTTGGGCCAGATGTCTTGCACCTGGAACTGCCTCAGAATGCTCTGCAATGGCAGAACAGGGTGGCGCAGGTAATAAGACGGCTTGCAGTTGTGCTGGGAAGGGAAGGGGCAGGACAGGAGATAGCTCATTAACCTTGGTGTTCGGCAGGTTACTCCACACTATATTTGTATCTAGATCAATACTTCTATAGAATAACATGCCATATACCAGGGGCCTGCCAGTTTCACTTTCTCTTATGTTCTTCCTGCAAACCTCCACCGCCCTTAAATTCTAGATTTCTTTCCCTCAGTAAATGGAAATTTTAATAAAATTATTTTCTTTGTAACTTACTTGCTTGAAAATTTTCTCTTTTTCTAACCAGCCTGACAAGGGCCTGAGGCATTGCTGGAGTTTCAGGGAAGGGAACTGGCAGCCAAATCTTTCCGAATACAGGCAACTCGATTAATTACTTGGCACTACAGGGGTGGAACCCTGTTGACCTTTGACTAGGTAGCAATTCTGCTAGAAGACTATTAATTGGAAATCACTTTCTCAGCATTCAGCCCTAATACTGATCCAAAAAGGGGGACGATGATCACATTGATAGCCCATCCTTTCCCCCTCTTCAGAACCCCAAATGGATTGCCTCTCTGTTTGATCCTCATAACAACCCTGTAAGGTAGGTTAGACTACCCTGTTCAAAGTTACATGCTGAGCTTCATGGCCAGGGGGGACTGTAACCTGATCCCACTGTACTCTGCCACACTGGCTCTCAAGTAGCCCGAACCAAAGTGTGCAGCTAATCAGACCAGTTTGAAACAAGGAGAAAATTCAACAAAGTTATCACTTGCACAAATAATTCTGCTTATAACCTATGATTAGCATGCGTGGCGATAATGTAAACTATTTTATCAGCCCCTGGCTTGAGCAAAAGCCAGGGTAACTTTTCTTCAATGATTCACAACCTCTAATTACATTTTCCATTGTAAACTTTATCTGTGAGAGGTAAACCCTGAATTAAGAGGCCTTACAGGAACAATTCTAAACAGAGTGTGTTCAGCATAAGCTTAGGTCTGTTGGAGAACATGAACTCATCGAGTACAATGAGGCTTTTCTCAGGTCTGTTTGTATAAGACTGCAATCCAAGAAAAATTGTGACTACAGTAATACCCAAAAGTGGTGTGTGACAACGTAAGTACAAAGAAGTAGAGTGGTGCAGGTAATCATGAAGGTGACTCAAGTGCTGAACAACCCTTAGAAATGGATCATGAGATCAGAGTTTCAAGCCATGCTGTGGTTATATACTCGCAAGTGCTTATTTCCTGTTGAGCAGGACAACAGTTGGAACTGCCCCAGCTACTAAAAGGTTCACACTGAATGCTAGTAGCAGCTCATTAAATCAGATTAAGGCTCTCAGTACCAGCCCAGGTTTGTGGTATCTTGTAGTCCATTCCTGTGCTGCTCTTTGTAGCCCTTCTATCTATACATACAAGAAGCAACACAGGAATCATGTCTACAGGTTGCTAATATTTAAGAGAGCACTGATCATTTTGTTGGTGCAGTTTATGCTGAGCCACAACAAAAAATCAGGTTGACTTAGTTTTTGCTGCTTGAGCCGTTTTTTCACATGTGCCTATGTGGGAGCAGGTGGACAGTCTGGCGCACAAAAAGACCAACCGAGGTGTGTAGTCAAGGAGTGGCCAACTGGCGAGTAAGCTCCCAACCTGCTATTTTCAGGGGACGTTTGTGGAGCCAACTTCCCTCCTGAGAACCCTCTAGCCACTGCAAGGAACAGCAGAGAAACTAGCAACCCCTTCCAAGAGATGCCAAGTTCCTCTTAAGCTGGCCCAGGGTTTTAGTAGCCAATAACATCATGCTGTTAACACCTGCTATTACCAGAAGAGCTCCGGCTGTCCAAACAAGTCTCAATACTCCTATAACACCAAGCATTCATTCCAAGCAGCCCTGGGGAAGCTAACAGTACAGGTGATTTTGGGATTCTGAATTTGTACTTATGAGTGGGACCTACCTGCAATAAAAGGTCACATGTCTGCCTTACAACCAGTCGATGTAGCATCCTTCTTTCAGGACACTACGTTCCATCTCCCCACACCCATCCCCTCCCTATGCCTGTATGGGCCTGCCTGAGTATTAAGATCAAAGGCCCTACCCTAGTCTGCTGGATGTTAGAGACATGGCTTTTTCAGGGGTGGCCCCCACATTTTTGAAACTCCCTTCCCAGGGAGAAACTTACTGCCTCATCACTGCTAGCCTTCAAAACTTGCAAATTCTTGAAGTTCAAGTTAGTCTAATCCACATTGGCATCTGAAAATCTCAAACTGTAGCTGCCCCTGTACATGTTACACTACTTCCAAATCATGAGAAGTAGTAGCTCCTCTATACTCTTCACTAGGCAGACCTCACCTGGAATACTGTGTTCAGTTCTGGGCATCAAAATTTAATAAAGATGCAGAAAAATTACTGCATCAGTAATTTTTGGAGGGCAACAGAAATGATCCAGGGTTTGGAAACACAGCCCTATGAAAAGAGACTGAGAGAACTGGGCATGTTCAGCCTTGAGAAGACAAGACTGGGGCGGGGGTGCGGGGAGGGCACGGTATCACTCTATAAGTACCTCAAAGGCTGTCACAAAGAGGAAGGTCAAGCTCTCTTCTCGATGATACCAGAGTGTAGGACATGGTATAATCAAGTTGCGACAACCCAGATTCAGGCTAGACAACAGGAAAAGCTACACCACTGTCGGAGCAATACACCAGTGGAACCAGCTAGAGACATTCAAAAAGAAACTGGACAGCCATCTGAGCAGGATGGTGTGGCTTGGTGTCCTGCAACAGCAGGGGGTCGGACCCGATGGCCTTCATGGCCCCTTCCAACTCTATGTACTATTCTGTGATTCTATGTGTGGAATTGTAATTGCATGCAAATATCGTTGCAATAGTGTAAGTTGCCTTATGAGGGTTTTGTGCTATGAACAACCGTGCAAAAGTCTCAAAACATCAGCAATTCTAGAACAAGTGATCAGAAGAAAAAAAAAAGTCAGTGGCAAATATGAAAAGGAAGCAAGAAAAAGAAATCAAGAAGCAGATGTACACAAATGAGGTTGCTAGGTCTGCCATCCTCAGCCTTTTGTTAATCAGCTCACTTCTGCTATGTTGAGCACTAATTAGTCCCATGGAGAGCTCTCCTGACCCAAATCTAGTTTCTTGTTTCCATGGAACCCGCAGAAATGCTAATATAGATAAACTCTGTGATAAATCCTGCTGGATTTGCAGCCTTCCAGTGTTATTTCTAAAGATGAGCAGGGGAGGGAGTTACTTCTAACATTCTGCTCAGGTGAGAATGTTTTAGGGCAGGCAGGCAGCTTTCTCTCCAATCTTTCTTTGACAACTGGTGATGTGATGTTGGTAAACAAAAGAGGGATGAGATCATGCAGCCCTTTCACAAGATGCTGGGAAAATGTTGCTAGTGGGAGCCCTGCAGGGGTTTAGTGTTCCTGAAAACGATTCTTAAGAGATTACAGAAGCAAGAGGCAGCCTCACTTCCTCTAATCGCAAACAGGTGGTGGGAACCAACAAAATGGCAGCCAAGGCCCAATGCGAAAGGAGAGAGTAGTAAAACCACGTCTGGGAACCCGAAAAGTTTGCAGAACTGCAAAGAAAAATAAAACACTTTTAAGAAAAACAGTCTAATGACATAAAACCCCCACCTGAGATCATTCCAGTGTGGTATGCTCAGTAGCCATAGGATGTTGAATATTGCTGAGAAAAGAAAAATGGGAAACGTTTGATAGCAAAAGAAGTGGAATCTCCTCGTTTGAAGCACTGGCAGCAGCTGGAGCAAACAATGGAAAGAGCACCCCTACTGGGAGGGAGGATGCACTGCAATATTTGGTTGCAGGGCTGCCAGTTCCCTCTAGTAGCAAATTACTGGGGTTGCCTACTTAGAGGTCTGGAACAAAAACTGAGCTGCACAAAATTAAGGGTCTGGCTTCTTCCTTCACGGGGGCTGCCTAGGTATGCTGAAGTAGAAGTTAGTAGGTTAAAAAAAAAAAACACTAAAAAACTACCTAGCAAGAAGTGGTAGTTTTTGGAAGGTTTATGGGGCTGAACCCAAAGAGAAAGTCTGAAGAACCCAAGCCTGGTCCCGTTCAGGTATTTGCCTGAAAACGGGGGACCCCGAAGTGAGTAGGGTTTGTGGGTGCCTGGGCAAGGCCCACCACGCGCTCAGGCTCTTCTCCAGCCTTGCACATGTTCTCTGCAAAGGGAAACCTCTCTGTGGCTGTGGCTGCATGCCCTTAAAAGCCTGCGATTTTCTGTCTGGCCTTCTTTTAAGTGCAGCCTAGCAGCCCCATGTGGAAGCCCCTTCACATCAAAAGGTGATCGGGGTGGCATGAACGGACGCCGGGGGTGAGGCTGGTGTGCGCGCCCCTGTGTTGCACCCCCAGTTTTGATTCCATGCATTCAGGCAGGAGCCTGATCCAAGACGTTGCCTGCCTCTCAGTTACGGTGGCAAGGCTCAGAGCGGTCGGACACGAACTGGTTCTGTGTTCATTAAAAATGACCATTCCCTGGGAAGTAGCTTCCATGTAGCCTAAAGTGCCTGACCCTGCCTAATCTTGGAAGCTAAGCAGGGTCAGGGCTGGGCAGAAGTGGGATGGGTGACTTGAGGGTATGATTCTATGATTACTGCTGTCAACTGCCTAGAGAGCTTTGGCTATGGGCAGTATAAAAATGTAATAATAATAAGCAAGGTGGGAGAAGGTTTTGCAACTGAGCTTGCTTAGCTTAGGGGGAAAAGGCAGGTAACAGAAGTATGCAAAACTGGTGTGGCGGAAACTGGAACAAGAGTGATTTTTCTCCCTCTGTCACAAGACTAGAACCTGGAGTCATCTCATGAAGCTGATTGGTGGGAGGGGCAGCACCGATAAAGGGAAAGACCTCTTTCTGCTGTGCATAGTTAAGCTATGGGTTTAACCCTAACCCTAATCAGGGCGGCTTTAAAGGGAATTGGGTAAGTTCATGAAGGAGACTACTAGTCCTATCAATGGCATTGTCCTGCTCCAGTATCAGAGGCAGTAGGCCTATAAATAACAGTCGCTGGGGAACATGGGCAGGATGGTGGTGTTGCACTCATGCCCTCCTTGTGGGCTCCCATGGACCACTGGTTGGCCACTCTGTAAGGTGAGATCCTCTGTGATCCAGCATGGCTCTCCCTATG